TATTTTATTGGATAACTTGGTGTTTTCACCCTTGTGGCCATGCTGCAGTAAAACACAGCAGATGATCGCTCTGCTTGAGAGCGGTACAGTCAACAACAGTACTTACACAGGAGGCATTTCTGTGTCAACGGGTCAGCTTTCAGCGGGCCCTCTGCCTTCTCCCCACCCCAGAACTTTAGCCAGGGTACAGAAAAAAATATCTACGTTTTTATGTATTTTTATGCTTTGCAGCTGCTAGGTTACTCAACTCAAGTGAAAAGTTAACAAACCTGTTTAGAGGGAGAGGTCACAGGTAGTTGCAGCTGTATTTATTCTGCAAGACTGACATTAAACACAGCTGTTCGTCACTGAGACAGGCAGTGGTGCCTTCTAGCAGATAAAAATCAGATACACTGCATAGATAATAGTTGTAACATGGAAATTATGTGTGTTAATACTTGTATTTGTATATGTGTGTGTGCATGGATAGATAGATATGGCTGTAACCAAAACCAAGCTTTGAACTGTGCCAACTCAAGCAAGGCACATTACCTGGCAGGGAGCTCTACGTGATTAAAACGGACCAGGTTTTTAAACCCAGCAGACACTTTCATAACGAGAAGATGAGGCACCTGCCATGCAGTCTTTTACTCATGTGAAAAATCTCACTGACGTCAGTGGGTTTTTTCGCTCACACATGAAGGTGTTTTCAGGCTAAGTCATGTCTATTTTGGAGAGTCTCACAACAGCTTGTTCTAAGATCAGGACTTGGATCTTTGTTGCGGTGGTGAAGTTTGCAAGCCTATATTATTACTTTCTTTCCAGTCCAGGTGTGCAGAGTCATGAAGATGTAAGGAATGATATTACTCAAAGTCTGATTTACAGCATTTCCAAAGACAGTAATAAGGGCTCCAGGTTCTTCCATGCAAGAAATAAATAAAGTTACTTTTTTTATAGTGGGAAGTGATGACAGCCATTACAGACTATTGATGAGACAGACTAAACCTAGCAAAGCAACATGTATGACTGGTTTCTGCTCTCACCTAGGGCAGTACAAACTGAAAATACTCCATGTGACACCCATGCCATTAATGCCGGTTAATGGAAATAAAATGAGAATATAACTGGATATATTGTGTTTAAAAACAAGCTGATGCACGTACTTGAGTCCTTTCCTGACTGATAACCATGGAACATAAAAGCTTTATGTATGATCTATTTTCTATGCATGCCTCCTGATACTACAAAGCATCAAATAAACATGAAGGAGTTTGTTCTTAACTGTTCCTGGAGAAATAGGGGAGCATGATAGTTTTATTCTTGTTTTACAGATGCAGAATTGAGCAATACAAAAACTTGCATGATTTGTTGTAAGGTTAAACAGAAGTCTTTACTAAAGGGACGAGACCAGAATTAGAAACCAAATCTCTGCTTTTGAAGCAAATGGAAAGTTAACGGTCTTAGTCCCTCTGCCTTCCAAATGACACCAAGGTGGGGGCAGGTGAGAGCATGCCGGCAGTGTTGTAATGCTTCAGATCTTGTAAAGATACAGTCTGTGGGTTCTGCATACTGAGACTGGCTCATCTGCTGCAGTCACTGTTTCTGTTTTGAAACTTCATTTACCACAGCTGAAACCACACTAGGAGGAGGGAAATTAAAAGAAAAGAAAGAAAAAAAAAATATCAACCAAAAAACCCACCTTTGCATGTTACTAGTTTAAAAAGATTTTAATGTAACAGACAAATGCCCGACTCTTGCTGCTGTAAAATGTGCTCAAGGAATATAAATGTTTTTATGCAAGGATGGACAAATGTCAAGAGGAACAGGAAAACAAAAAACTATTCAGAAAACCAGTGGAAGTAATTCCCCTTGTCTGTCATGAGCTGGCTGTCTCCAGCTGGTTCAGCTCAGTGACTATGGATTAGCCTGATAAGCAGTACACATTTCCAAAACTTTTAAAGAAAAAAGATGTGAAAAGTGAGATGTTAGGGATGTTTTCAGCTGTCCTGCATCTGATTCAGCAGCATCCCTGCCAAATTTATTACTACACAGTGCAAAGCTGACAGTATAAGACAACCTATCAAAATGGGGCTTTAAGAGAGCACCCAGTGCATTCCTCTGGCAGAATAGGCTAGATTAGTACCATTTCTGGCAGGTGTTTCTCTAATCTGCCCTTTAAAAGATCCAGCAGCCCTTCCAGGTGAACCATCCTCATGTGTTGCTCCTTTTCCCACAAGTGCCTCCTTTCTGGCTGGAACTGGACTATGTTCCTTTTCCTACTCGTTTGTGGTGGACATGTAGGATAGATCATCCTTCTCAGGTGAAGATTTACAGTATTCCCAGTCACTCCTCCTTGGACAAGGTGCATCTCTGATAAGTTTTAACTGCCAAGGAAGTAGAGATCAAGGCTGATGGGCCTTGATGAAAGCCATCTCCACTGGAGGGAGACAGATGCACCCAGTCTGGTCTGTCCTAACTAGAGAGATGAACCAACTTATGGAAGAGTTTATCTGCCTCTGCTCTTTATGATAACTGCTAAGTAGATGTCTTGCTGAGAACCCAAGTTACCAGACACAAATCTCCTCATCTGCTGCTGGTTAAGTGCTAGAATTATTTTAATCTTTCCTCTGAAGGTTTTTGGACTGTGCAGCATATACTGTATTCTCTTCCAGACTCTGTTATTCTTAAATTTCTCCTTGTTGGACTTCTTAGTTTTTCCTCATTCTCTTTTAATGAGAAGACTTTTATGGCTTTGTTTTCCAGCAAAAGAAAATACCTGTGCTGTATTTCCTCCTACTTGGGAATTGCAGCAGAAAGTTTGTTTGTGCCTCAGTCCCTCCCTCCCTTTCTACACAGATTGCCGGTTGACTGTCTCAGGGCTTCTTGAGCAGCATTGTGTGCTTCTGATTTTTTTTTTTTTTTTTTTTTTTTTTTTTTTTTTTTTTTTTTTAATCTCTTATTCCCAATTGTTGATTATGCAGTTGCTGGGTTTCCTGAAGCCCCATACACTTTAGTGCTGGGACGTGGTACAACGAATGAGACTTGCTGCATGGATGATTTCTTAGTCTGTGTAATGCTGGTTTTGATTTATTCTTCTTAGTAGCATGCACATTAGGAGATTCTTTGTTTTACTGAACAGATGTTGCCAATTTTAGGCTGTTTTCTTGACTCTCTTGGGCAGCTTCATCTTTACATGTGGATTTGTTTCACCTGAAGCAGTTGCAGAGGACATTTGTTTGGGGGGAAATCAAAACCCTTTATTTTCTAGGTTCTGTATCTCCCATTTGGAAGCAACTGCTAGAGTAAAGCAGATTTCTGGAGGTCTCTCTCTGCTGCTTTCACATCCCCAGGCATCCTGAAACTTCTTTTATTTCATTATAACTGAATCTATAGTTTGAACTCTTGCAAGGTGACTGTCACTGGGCATTTCTGTGTTCAAGGAAATGGAAATTTTTGTATACTTTTTGTAACTAAAAAAGCTTGCCCTAAAGACTATACCCAGTGAAACTGGTTCTCCGACTATAAAAAATTTAAAAGCCATTGAACACTAGTTAAGTTCTAGAGATAAAAAGAGAGCAATATTAGAAATATGCTCCATAAACAGCTTTATGATCTGAAGATACAGATGAAGGTGTATACCAGAGTCTGTTTTGAACATTAACATACAGCTAGGGGCTTGGAAAACCCAGAGTTTCCACTGAGACAGTTTAAAGTAATTGGTCTCTACAGAACTGCCAGGAAATTGTTTTATTAAATGTATCAAAGAGAAAAGCTTTTACTGTTTGGCCTAAAGACAACTAGAAGTCAGCAAGTTAATAGGAAGATGGTGGTGACTTTTACTTACAAAAGCAACTATGTGTTTCATATACAGGAGGATGAACACTGTTGCTCTAGTAATAATGATATATACTACAAAAAACCCTTAAGGTCTGTTTAAGGAAATTACAAATGTCAAGGACTATTAATTCAGACAGGTTCCCACCATTTCCCCCTTTCTTTGTCTCTTTTTGTTATTTTAAGAACTAGAATTGCATCCCTGGAGGAAGGGCTTAAATGGTTTTGAAAAGTCTTGAAGAACCACAGATTCACTTTTTCTCTTCCCCATTATGCTCCTGTGGCCACTCGCAAGGAGAAGCTCCTTCCCACCAGCTACAGCTTGAGGGCTGGTCTCAGGGTTGCTCCCACGGGTGCATCTCTCATGGCAGGAGGTGCTGGAGATTCAGTCACGGCTTGGAGCTTGGGATTCTGCCCCTGGGCCCACAGCCAAGCAGTTTAGTAATGTGAGCATCTCCATTAAATTTATTAGATTACGAGTGTTTATTAGGAAGATGTGAAACTGGGTTCTTAAGAGCCACAGACTTGCTTGTTTATTCTTCTCAAAAGCTGGTGCAATGAAACAGCAATTTCACACAATGAGTGACCTAACAGGAGGTGTTTTGCTGAAGAATCAGCATGGATGATCAGATGACATTGGGGCTATTGTGATCATTCAGTCTGGTTCTTAAGTGTGAAATTGTACTTCTGTTTGTGAAGCTGTGTTTGCATTAGACTCCACATGTCTTTTTAAAAATACCTGGTTTGATTTTTAAAAGTCCACTCAGCTACAACAAGATTCTACTGAAGCATCAAGGATATTTTTAAAATTTCTGCTGTTAAACTGGTCTGATATTCAAATACCTTTACAATTTTAAAAATGTGTGTCTCTTCTAGGCTGAACTTTTCTAGCTTTAGCTTCCAGTCCCTGGATATTTCCATGCCAACGTCTGTCATAAATTGCAAAGCCATTTTTGCTAGAGAAAAAGACACTCATACAGTTGGAATTTGGGACTGCACTAGCTAGGGACACTTGAAAAAACTGAAGTTCCACAGACAACAACCTTGTGCTTCTAATGTGAAGAAAGGCAGTATATAGAACTTTATGGCTTACTTAAAAATAAGTATCTTTTTCGGTTAACTTGGAAAAATATGTATTTGCAGATGCTTAGTGTGTGTTGTTTCTTTTTTATTTTCTTTCTCAGGAGGGTTGTGTTGTTCTTTGCCCAACCCAAAGAATGTCCATTTTGAATCTGTAAACATGAAGAATGTCCTTCACTGGTCAGCACCAGAAGGCACAGGAGATGGAGTGCTCTACAAGGTGAAGTATTTGGTGTAAGTTGGCTTGTTTATTTTATTCCCCACTGACTTTTATTTTAACATTTTAAATAATAACTAAAAAAATCTTTATACAAGATAGAGCTGCTAAAAAGTAAAGAAAGGAGAACTAAAATGTGGCCTAGATTTAAGCAGTGTGGTTTTTAACTTTTACTTCTGGTACTGCTTCAGATTCAGTTAAAAATTCATAAGGAGACTTTCTTTCTATGAAAGAAGTGTAGGATGCAGCATGGGAGCTTTCAGGGGTATTTCTGAGAAATGAGACAGAAGGATGAAGGAGGACCGTGCTGTGAATTGGCATATGAACACACTATATGCATTTAAACAGATCTGGATATGCAGTATTTAATACAATATGAACAGCACCCAATGTTTTGTTCGTCTTTTCTAGCAGACCCAACCCCCACAGATTTTTTTCTGATCCCGCAAGCCTCTGTAGTCTAGGAGAAAACCCACTGAAGTTATTGAGTACTGTAGAAAACCAAGTAATGTGATTGGAATATCTGGCCCTTATGTTATCCTTCGTAGGATATCAAGGAATTTGAGTGAGGACCAGAATCCATTTCCTTCATTCCCACTGAGAGAGCATTGGTTCATTCTGAAGGACAGGGTTGGAAGTTTAGCTTATAAATAGGTATAGCACTGTTGTCACGCATGATGTAACTTTACCTCTAGTATTTACACTTTCCTCGATCTACTAATGTTTTCATTACACTAAAACAGATGTAGATCTCTAGAAGTTTCCTGGAACTTGAACTGGAGTTGCTTCTACAGAGACTGCAATCTCTTTTTCTCAGATCGTGCCCTCTGTTCTAACAGAGGAGTGACATAGTCCACCTCCTAGAAAAGGGGATAGTGCTCAGTAATTATGGAATGAACGATAATTGTGTAGAGGGTAAAATGCTCAGAAAGCACTGGCTATGCAGACTCTACAGGATCAACTGATCTACAGAAGAGTCTGTCATCATAGGTATGGCCATCTTTCACAGAGTACAAAGATATTCATATGTGCCTCTGCCTACTTAGGAGAGCAAGGCCTTGAGCTAGGTGGAAAATGCTGGTGAGTGGTACTGTCCTGAAGTCATTAGAAGCTGCCACATGCCCTTACTAATTAGCAGTCAAAGGGGAATTCTTAATAATGCAGCTTTGAGGAGCAGGGGCTTCTAAGCAAATCCAGGCAGGAATCTTTAAAGGAAGTCTTGATATCTTCTACTAGTGTATAAGATCTGGTCAGTACTGAGGCATTGCTGGTAGCAGATATAATACCTCTTTTTCAACTAGAGGGGATTTGAAGTTCCCTGTATTCCAGTGGAGTCTTTCTTTTAAACTAGAAAAAGAATCAAGTCAGTGATGTGTAGTCTCCTCTCCACTCATCTTGGAGACCCTGAGCATCATCTGCCTCTGTACACCAGGATGAGCCATTGACCATTCTGACAGAACTTTGTCTCTGTGTGAATAGTTGTCCTGACTCTGATCATGTGTTTAGAGTTTAAAGATTTAGAATCCAAAGTTGAGAGCGTTTTGGTCTGTGCAAGCAAAACTAGACTTAGATTGCAGTAACATCCCAGTTAGTTCTATATGGCCTTTTCTTGATAGGGCCTACTCTGATTTATCTTTCATTACAGACTTGTGAAAATCTTGTGGTTTATCTCAGCCAAAGTTGGGAATTCCTTGAAATGGCAGATTTCTGCAAAATAAGCAAACAGTTTTATCGGCTGTAATACCAATTTCTGTGCTGTATTGTCAGATGACTAATATCATGGCAGTAGCTTTTGTACAGCTCCTTTCTCTTTCTTTTCCAATATAGGTATGGTGTTGGCAAATGGATTCGAAAGCCAGAATGCAGGAATATCAGCAGAACATGGTGTGACCTCTCCAGTGAGACCTCTGACTACGAAGAGCAATACTATGCGAGTGTTAAAGCCTTCCTAAATGGGATGTGCTCTGACTGGATGGAGACCACACGATTCAACCCCCTTACAGACAGTAAGGAAAACTAACCACACAGCCAGATGTTCAATGGCCTGCACTGATAGTGTGTGCTCAGACTATATGATATTTAAATTTTAACACGAGGTTAGATTTTTTTTGCAGTTGTTTCACATTTATGCTTTTGGCAGAAGTAATTGAAAAATCGTATTAGGATTTGGATATATGTGTGCTATATATGCAGAATTATATGTACCGAATACTTTTTTATGCTATGGTAAAGCTTTATTCAAGGCAAATAAAAGCTGTGGCACATCCGCAGTATAAAGAACTCTGATTCTGAAAAGGCTCTATTAAACCAAGCAGTAATCATACTCTAGAGCACAATATCTCTTATCTGTGCTAGATAATCTGAGAACATACTCGTAATTTAGCTTGTTTTAGCAAATTGAGTTTCAAGGTTGTTTATCCTGTGGTCACAGGAATTTTTAGGCAAAATCCCAAGTCAGTGTTCACTTTCTCACTGTAATGATCCTCTTAGTTATCTGATAAAATAATTTTCTACCAATATAAATAAATTGTTCAAAGTCCTGCATAAACTCCCCAAAACATTACAAAAATTTAATGTCGTCCACTTTAAGAAACTACATGGTCAAATCAGTGTGCCTCTACTGCATTTGACTGCTTTTTGTTCATGTTCATTTTTCCAGCTAAAATTGATCCACCAATGGTAAGTGTATCTTCTACTGAGAAATCTATTTCAATCATTCTGACTGCTCCTGAGAAGTGGAAGAGAAGTCCTGAGGGAGAATCTGTATCTCTGCTTCAGGTGTATCCTGGCCTGCAGTACAACGTGTCTGTCCTCAACAAAAAAACAAAGAAGCGGGTAAGCTTTGATAAGGCTGTAGAACTGCACTATTAAATCTGTGCTCTTGCTTCTTGAAATGCACTTTGTCCATAACAACAAGGATCAAAATAGGTTTTATAGCCTTACAGGAATTATAGGATCATTCAGCTTGGAAGGGAGCTCAGAAGGTCTCTGATCCAAAGTCCTGTTCAGAGCAGGATCAGCTGTGAGCTCAGACCAGATACTCAAGGTTTTTCCAGTTGCATCCTGAAAATCTCCAATGGTGGGGACTGCACAACCTGTTTCACCTTGTCTTTCCTCTTAGGAAAAAGTATTTCTTTATATCCAATCTGAACCTTTCTTTTGGAACTTAATGTCCATTGTCTCTCATCCTCCCACCATTCAGCACTGAAGAGACTGGCTCTGTCTTCTTGATGACTTCTCTGGATCATCCTGGGGGTTGCTGTTAGGTCCCCCTGAAACCAGGGGGCTTTGTGAAACAAACTCCAGTCCTTCAGCCACCCCTCACAGGGCTCCAGCCCCAACCGTCTTGTTGATCCTCTGCTAAACCCGCTCCAGTTTGTCAGTCTTTTCTGTATTGGGGGGAACAAAACTGGTCACAGTATTCTAGATGTGGTCTGATGAGGCCTGAGCCAGGGGGGACAGTCCCTCCCCTCCATCTCGTCCCTCTTCTCCTGTTAACACAGCCCAGGATGCTGTTGGCCTCCTTTCCTGTGAGGGCATGTTGCTGGCTCACGTTCAGCTCACTGCCTGTCCCCAGTCCCCTTCGGCAGGGCTGCTCCCCAGCCAGTCAGGCTACTAACAATACTCACAATACATCATGACAAAGTGCATCCTTTGTTACCGCATCTAAACATCTTCATTTCTTTGTCTCCGCAGATTTACATTTCATTAGCAAGTAGTAGTTCTCGGCTTAAACACACAGTTTAAGATGAGGAAGAGTTCAGTGATCGCTTACAGAAATACTCGTTTTTCTGTTCGTGTCCCCCAGGCACAATCTGTCTGACAAATCTCTGAATTTCCTGAAGAGACAGAAACTTTACACCAAAAAGGCCACCTTCTGTCAAATGGGATATTAAAATGCCAAGATTAGCTATTAGTGGTAGACAAAAGGGGTTTTGTGGGGTTTTTTTTTTCATAAAGATGCATGACATATAGCAATTACTTTGGACTCCAAGGTCTACATAACACCCATTATTCTAAGACTCCTGTCTTTATTAGAATATCCCAATTTGAAAGATTTGGTGGAACTGTACCATGTGCCTTTCACTGTCCTATGGCTGGAGTGAAACTTTAGCTCTATTGCAACATTAACATGAAAATGTGAGATAGTGGTGGCACATGATGCGACTTCATATAAAGCGTGAAATTGTTCAGTAGTGGTAGAAGAATGATTGAATGGAAAATAAAATATCCAGAGAGGATGTGACCTAATAAATAACTTGAGTTCTGATTGCATTCAGAAAAAAAGGATGCGGCTGGCAGTTCTTACAGTATCATTATTCTTTCCAGAAAATTTGTGTGCTTGACGCATTTCACACATAAGATCTTTACCTTTCTGTAACTGAGGCATTAAAGGGAAAAAAAATAATCTTTTTTTATGTCTTACAGTGGTTCTTCTCCATCAGCAACAACACCTTGGTTGTGCCCTGGTTAGAACCTGGGACAGCTTATTGTGTCAGCGCACAGATACATGTCACCACACCACTTTTGCACAGTGGGTTCTCCAAAGAATATTGTATTGCCACGTTGAATGGTGAGTGTAAGCTGGCAAGTTACAAAAAGAAGATGCAAGTTAGAAAAAAAATCATATTGATTGAGTTTGTGAGTTTTTAATGTATCCATTCTGAGAGTGAAAGCTAGCATTGTTTCTCCCCTCTCTGAGCATTTGTACTGATAAAAAAATCTTTGCCTTTAGCAAAACATAGCTGGGTTCTACTGACTGGAAGGTACATCAGTACCACTGAAGAAAAGGATCTGCAGTCTTTGAGTTTTAGTGAATGGAGAATATTTTTTCTCCTCGAATGAGGTTTGGGAGTGGCAGAGCTGGGTTAATCTGAAGCTAGCAACAGGAGAACCCGAGGGAGGGGTTTTACTTCTTTTTAGAATTTAATTTATAATTTGGATAATAAAATTTGTCCTGTAGTTCAAAATGTCATTTTAAAAAAAATTTCCTGCAAATTTCTTATCTAAAATATTTGCATCCCATACCCAGAAAGCAGTGTGGTGAATGCACACATTACTATCTGAATACATGAAAAGTTGCTCAGTACAATGAAAACTTTTGTTTTGTTAACAGATAAAACAGCAGATGAGACTATAACAATCATATTTGGATACATTCTGCCTATCGTGCTGGCTGTCCTTTTTATTTCAATGACATGCTATTGTGTGCACAGGTATATTCATGTCAGAAAACAGAAACATCCAACAAACCTGGTAAGTGTTCTTTGCTGCAGGAGGTCACTGCCAACCTGGGCACTCACAGCAGAGCTGTGCATTTTCCAGGACTCTGAGTCAGCTGGGAGCAAACCACATCTAGCTGCAAATAAAAGCTCTAGTTCCCATTCGGATCAAGAAAAGAATATCACATTGAGGGTTATTGAATGCAAAAAAAACCCACCATAATAACTCAAGTTAGCAGCTGTGTTTAAAAAGATGACCAGATCTGAAAAGATGACCAGAGCTATTGAGGATCAGAGCAGAGCTGTTCGTTTGGGAAGCGTCATTGCCATAAGCAAGGTGTAAGGTGCACTGAGGCAAACTCTGTTAGGAAGTCAGCACTCCCTAAATTTATCTAGGAAGAAGCACTGTAGAGATTCAGTGAACAAAAGTTACTAATTGGTTGAATTCAAAAACAAGAAGGGAAGATAGTTAAGCAGTATACAAATCCCATCGTGTTTGCTTGGACTATTACTGGGTATTACCAGATTTTTCCACTTATTTGTGATTTTGAAGGATTTAGCACATGTGCATCATACAGATAATTTAATCTGGATTTCAAGAATACTGTCAATTACTGTACCCTTTCCTAACACCCAGAGATGTATAAACAAACACATTGTGTTATTTAGACACCCCAAATACACTTTCTATGTAAAAATGTTTGCAGGTTTCTTAGACCTGCAAAGCTTGTTAATTTTTTAGAAAGAATACATGAAGTCTTGCAAATTTTCCTGGTTTCCATCTCATGAGCCCAGCAGAGCTTTCTCACGGCTATCTCTAAACAAGTTGCTCAACCATAAACATGCAATTACACTAGTGAATAGCACTTTGATGTTAATCCAATCTGCATGACACCGTGGGATGGGAGGTATAAGGATGTTGGTTTCAACACACTGATCTTTCTGAAGAAATCTAGAGCAGCACAGAGGTGTTAGGAGGAATGTTCACAGGGCGACTGCGGTTTCAGAAGAGTTCGGAAGGAGCAGAGCAACTGCTGCTGCAGTGTGTTCAGATGTGCACAGAGACACCTCCTGCACTTGTTGAGTCACTGATTTTATCACAGAACTGTGGAATCATGGAGTACTTTGGGTTGGAAGGGACCTTCAAAGATCATCTATAATATTTCAACTTACCCTGCCATGGGCAGGGACATATGTCACTAGATCAGCTTGCTCAAAGCCCCATCCAACCGGACTTTGAACACTTGCAATGAAGGGGCCATCCACAACTTCTCTGGGAAACTGGTTCCAGTGTCTCACCTCCCTCATAGCGAAGAATTTCTTCCTTATATCCAGTCTAAATCTGCCCTCTTTCAGTTTAAAACCATTGCTACTTGTCACTACAGGCCCTGGTAAGAAGTCTTTCAATGTCTTTCTTATTCTTTATCCTGGGACACAGGGCTTAGCAGGGGGAGATAGCTTGATCTCCCTTGGAGAGCTATAACGACAGAGCTCTTTATAGTCCAAGAATGTAAAGGGCTACTTAGTGAAAAATTCACACTCAATATCAGACTAAACTCCAGCTCCAGGAGTTTTTTTTCTCTAATAAATCTATAATTTGTATGTTGGTGGGTTTTTTTTTTTAATGGCCATTGCACTTTTTTGTGACCACCTTGCAGCTTCAATTTTATTTCTCCATCTCTGGATTCAGTTGATGTTAAGGTAACAAATGAATATAGACCTGGTATTTTAATGATGCTCTGTGGCTTTCCCAACCTACAGACTATCCCACCTGGGCACTCCGTGTGATTGGGGGAGGTGAAATAAACAGTTTATTTTGGTCCAGCACTTCTGATCTGGGGGAGCTTTCACACCACCTGGTACATCGATTAGTGGTCTTAGTCTTCCATTCAAGTCTGAAAGCACTGAAGTGCAGCTTCTGGTGGTTGTTTTTCTATTGCACTTTAGTGACTATTTATACAGTATTTATTCCTGTTAGAAATATTACTCATTTTAGAAAGATTCCTGTTGTTTAATTAGCTGATTTATCACAGAGTCACAAAAGCAGTCTTCTCTGTAAGCTATACCTTAACATGATGCCTGCCTCTGCTGTGCTTGTGGGATGTGGTTTTGGCTGCACTTCCTTTTCACTGGTTAAAAAGAGTGGAACAGATTCTGTAATCTGTGACCCAAGGACAACTCTGATCTTGAGTTTATGCTGGTGGAAACAAAACCAGAGTTTGACAGAATTGTGCTAACCATTATTTTGACATGGGGAAGATGAGAAAAGGGATATTAGAGCTGGTCATATATAGTTTTACTTTGGATAGAAAAAAAAAAAAGTGGAGCGTATTAACACTCCTGGAGGTTTCGATGATGAACTTCCTTCTTCCCTAAATTGAAATAACCTCCTAATAAGGTCTAGCCTAGCCTTGTATTTTAAAGCTATGTGACGGTATAAGAAGCAACAGGATGGTATTTTTATTATACTTCACACAAATCAAAATATTTTTGGCTTTACAGGTATGGCACTACACTGACAAATGCAAGGAGAGTGTTTTCATACCATGTGATAAAATAGTGGTCAACCTTATCACCGTTAACATGGATGAATACAAGCCGTCTCAGGAATCCAGTCATCTCTCAGAGAGGAAAAGTCCTTGTTATTACACTGTTTACAGTGGCACCAAAGGGAATGATTTGGCTTCAAAAGAAGTGTTGGAAACAAAACACTTGCTTGATATTTCACATGAAGAGGATGTTTTGGTGGAAGGGGACCAAACTGGGAAATGGCCATCTTATGGCCAGCTTAAAACAAAGAATACTTTGAGACAGAAAAATGCAGGGACTGTAGAGTATGAACATGATGTAAGGGCTGAAGACTTCAGTCCCGGTCAGAAGCTACAAGAGAAGACTTCTGCCTCCAGGGGACTGCTAGATGAGCCACAGATTGGTGTGGAGAACTTGGTTAATAGGAAAACAGGACAGCCATACTGCCCCCAACTAGGGGTGAGGGTAGCAGACCCTTGTTTGGGACAGAAGATAGAGGAAATTAATTGGAAGATGGTTGATGCAGCAGATGAATTGCCGAGTGAAACCCATATCAACTTGGTGGACTTCAATACTGAAAAATCTGGGCAGATAGCCTATCCTCAGCTGGAAAAAATAGCACAGGGCCTCACGGAGAAAGAAGGTGAACAGACCATATTAGTAGATTGGGATCCTCACACTGGAAGACTGTATATTCCTACCTTGTCCAGTGTTGAAAATCAGGTATGTGAAGGAGTATTCAAGTGTGATGATCCTGATAAAGAAGGAATTTTGTCCAGACTGTATGAGGAGGAGGTATCTTATGAATCATCAGAGGACCAAGAAGTGTATCTCCTGCAATTCAAGGAACAGTGGGGACTGCATGTAGAAATGTAACACTGAACAGTAATTTTCTAAAATATTCTAAAAAAGCAAAATCTTGTTTACTTTGCCAAAGAGAGTGATGGACTCAGTGGAGCAAACACATCTTAATGTACCAAAGTTTTTGGAACCATCACAGTTGAACAACTTACTCATGATACGTTATTTATAACAGTTTTCAGACATGGTATAGTTGATTTTGACACTCATCATAAACATTTCTGGTAAAGCATGATGGTTATGAGATTATCTTCTTTTTCAAAAAATATATATTTTTACACAGGATGCTGTTAGGATTTTCACATTGTAATTCCTACCAAAACAAATTATCAGCATTTGAAAGCAGTTCTTTTTAGCAAATAAAAAACAACAATATGACATTTTGCTGGACTATTTCATGTATCTTGACACAATGAAGTCTTTTCTAGATATCACTGCTGCTACTTGTAATGGTTTGAGCTGACTTTTGTGGAAATTAAGAGCATTCCTGTGTATATTTTGTTTCTGTTTTGTAAATATTCTCCTCCTTAAGTTCTTACTTCTTTTGAAAGACTTGCCTGAGGTGCAAGGTCCCTTCAGTGCTGTGCTGTGCAGATACGCAACCAGCAACAATTCTTTTAGCAGGTCTGCCTACAAGCTCAACAGACGTAAGGGAGAAGAAAGCAAGCATTAGTCATGTTTTAAACTGGGGGAAAATACGGCACAAAGGGATTCAGTGAAACACTTGTAGTCTTACTGGACAGCCCATGTCTCACTCAGCTGTAGGCACTCGCACTGCAGCATCTGTATGACTCATGTCCTGCAAGTGTCCATTCCTCTCCGATGACTTTAGTGGCAGGCTGGCGTGACTAGCTCAGACAGAGGAGTCTGTTCACTCATACTACTGCTTCTTCAGACTCATCCCACTTGCATTGACAGACCCAGAAAGTGTACCTGTGGCCTTTCTTTTCTTATCTGATGTCCTGACCAGTACTTCTGATCCAAGTTCACTTTTTGTCCATGTCATGTCATATTTATTTAGGATAGCAAAATTACGGGATATTCTAGAAATTACTTTCTAGGTCTGGTGATACATTTCTTTTCAAAGCCTATCTGTCACTTTTCTACTAATGGACTTGTTTTTGTGAACACCAAAAAAAAATCACGGTAACAATCTGTTTGGTTTTGAAGAGGAGAAGTGAGAAAGAAAAAGAAAAAACTTTTCTACAGTATTTAAAACTTGTACCCTTCAAACTAGATACATGGTTCAGTGTGTTCTTGGAGGAAGACCTTTATCAATATCTTTTCTCTCAGGTAATGCTTTTATTGCATTACCTTGGTATTTTCTGACCATTCATCCTCTGAAATATTTCACTTGTAGTCATAGACTTTAAAACAGAAATGACAGTAAAATATTTCATGCTGATGACTCATCTGATGTAAGACATGTCCTCAGCTGTTTTTGTAATAGATCATGTAGCAATGTTATACCTAAATACTTAATACATTTGTGCATTGGCAGATTCACAGAGGAGGGTTATAGCTCAGTGTGAAAGAAAGTAATTGGAGAGGGTCACCTGAACAGATGTGAAAAGGACAGAATTTCTACCATTATAGACCAGCCTCATTTAAGCCACCCAGTGTTTCATGAAGTTTTCTTAACTAAATTCTTTGCACATAGTCTCTTAATTGTCTTTTGCAATGTGAGGGCTCTAACCCATTGGTAGGAAAGAATTCTTTTACTTTTTTTCTGTAGTCCGTTGAATTTTGTCCAGTTACTGCTCCCCTAAGATCTATTGCTTGTATTTATTGTCTACGTTCCATACAGAAGGATGAGAATGCTCCAGCTTCCTTGATAGTTTGGTCCAGATGCCAACCAACCTTTCTTGAAGAGGAAGGTATCCTTATGTTTGGTTTGTATTTCCTCTGGCCTTACTTGCCAGCTGCTAGTGTGTGCTGCATAAACAAGCCTTGCCCCAACAGTTACTACATGTAAGGACACTCATATACATACTATAGTGAAGTAATTGCTGATGAAAATTAGAAAACTTGGTAATTAAACCATAGAATCTCACTTCATTTGGTTCTCTGGTCATTGTAATCTCCTTTCTCTGCCTTATGCCTTTTTTTTTTTTTTTTTTTACTTTTCAGTTACAATTAAGTTATATAGCATGTATTTCCTCTTGTACTTGAAACCTTCCTAGTTAACAGTACATATGATCACAGCACAGATACTGAGATTCTTACAATCACAGATGCATTTTTGTGATAAATTTATACATTGAAATAGTTAATTTTTGGACCAAAATATTTATAATAGAAGTTTGCAACACTTTCAGTGTTGCTTCCTTTTGATCTGAATTTTCATTAAATTCAGAACTGATAATAGATTATGCAAACAGTCCTTTGTCATATTTATGAGATATACTTTCAAAGTGTTCTCAGGATAATCACAGTAAAAAAAGCTAAGGGGGAAAAAAGTAAATGAAGCTAAGAACTTTCTTTTATGTGCAAAAGAATTATTCAGGTTAGCTAGTCAAGTTCTGGAACTGATGAGGCAGAAAAAATTGTGCTGATTTCCATATAATACCAGTAAATTGTTGATGGCTTTTTTATTATCCTCAAAGTTACTCCTATTTTGCCTTAAAATCTTCTAATTATATGAAACAAATGAAACTGATTAGACATGGTACCTTCAGCAAGCCAAACAGTCAGCAAGGAGCAAAATACTTCCATGCAAAATTGTAATTCTACCTACAAGGTTTCAGACAAGAGGCAACTATTAATTGCATGGAAGATCCAAGCAATAAGAGAGCCAACATGTTCCTAGTCTTTATTACATTTTACTAAACTTTGGTTAGCCACATTTAATAGAATGAATGCAGCCAAAAGCAAGGTCATGTATCTAGAAGCAAAGACTATACTCAAACATAAGGCTACTTGCAGCCTTAAAATCAATTATTTTGAAAACAATGTGAGAGATTAATAGAAGTAGGTAGTGGTATGTTGGGGACAAAAGGATGTATATTTCTTGACTACAATGGCAATGAAAATAGAATTTCACCTGTTTCCACAGAGCTGATGTGACCACCACTGGGAAAACTGCAACCAATTTACAAATTAAGCCAAGCCATAAAGATAGAAAGCAAATACTATAAAAGGCTAAAGCAGTGCTCTTTCAAGCTTGAAAAACAGGAAGCCTAGCTATCAAAATGAGATCTAATGGTGATGAAAGTGATAGCTAGATGTGGGCACACACAGTTTTGGAAAACGAACTATAATTTGTAGTGTGGTTTTGCTGCCTACAACTTGGAGAGAGTGATAGGGTTCTTGAAGGAGAGACTGAAACAGACAGCTGAGTGCAGAATACCTGTGGTCTGACTTAGAGCAGCCCTGGAAAAACTACTGTACAGTGAGAAAATCATATGGAAAAGTCCAAATATGGCAGGCAAAAATGCAGTATGAGTTGTGTACCTGGCGTGATAAGGACTGCAGACAGAGTGCCCACCCAGGGTGTGAAGTTAGGCAGGCAAGGAGTACGTGATGACTGCCTAATGCATGACACAGGATAGCTGGTAATGTGAAGCATAGGGAAATGATCAAATTGTTAGAAGGAAAACCAAATTGCTCAGCCACTGGATGCAAGCAGCTGGATTGCCTGGACTTCATGGGGCTCTCTGATCACCTCACCAGAAGATCACTAAAGGAGCATTGGTGGCTGGACAAGGCTGAGATGAGGGTGTTTTCTACAAAAGTAGGATCAGAAACAGTTCTTGGAGTGGTCCACTGTGGGTATAGGGTAAGTGGGTGCATTTTGGACATGCCAGCAATGCATTAGCATCTGTGGTGCTCCAGTAATTTGCAACACACCAATAATGCAATGGTTAGAAGAAAACGTGGGCTTTGGAAAGAGTAGCAAACACGATCAGATAGCACAGGTTTTTCTATGGATATTAAGGTAGGTCCAGCAGGATCTCTGAGGAACATTCTCAGGGTCTAGAAAACAATATGAAAACATCCTGAGCAAGGAAGTACTTTGAATTATATTCTTAATAAAAGACTGCACAGGAACATGCTCAATTTCTACTGATTTAAAATTAAATTTTAAGTTAAGCTTATGTTTTAGCACTTCCCTAGAGGGGAATGAATTCCTGAATCTGGGCCTGACAAAAACTTATCAAAGTTTACCAGAAGAGAATTAAATCATGATTTCTGTAAGGTCTAACCTACAAATGCAGGCTTAACCAGACAAAGTGATTGGAATGTGAAGCAAGCAAAACTTAAAATAGAATGGCAGTGTGGTTAGAACATTTTAAAATGGGGACAATTGACTGTTTACTGGAAAATTCTCCAATGCCTGTATGTCTTTCAAACAAGCATGTCTTTCTCCAACAATAATGCTAACAGATGGGTGACATTTCTTGCCTGGAATATGTTGAATGGTATAATGATGCTGATACACTGTCAAGTCTTAAAACTGATTAATCCTTTTTTCCCTCCTTTAAATAAGAAATGTTGGCTCATCTATAGAGTTGATTTTTAAAAGTTATTCCAAGCACCATATTTTTAAATAACTGTAGTTTGTATGCCTGACGTGATTCATTCTTGCAAAGCCAAAGACTTAAACCTGTTCAGCTATCTCCCATTGTCCATTCAAAATACCAATGTTCTCCATAAAAGGAAGACACAGCAACAAGTCAAGATTTTTCCATTTTGGTTTTGCATATAGGTTTCAAGCTTCATCAGCCCAGGATCACATAGCAGTAAGTGTAGGAAGTCATTTTCCTGGTTAGCGTCACCTAGAAACCATAAAGATTTTTGGTAATTTGTATTGGCAGTAACACTAAGCTGGTCTTAATTTCTCACTGTCTTTTCCCTTTCTAGCACAAAAAACAGAGAACAAAAAGTACAGACATCCATTTTTTTAAAACCTCCACAATCAGTGTAGCTGAGACAGAATTTCCTGGACTGTTAGGTTTTAAGAAGAGGACTTGCTCCTTAGCACCACATTGCTATGAAAACCCTTGCTCACTGAGAGAAGACAGACATTCCAGTAGCACTTCTTCAGCTCTCAGCTTTTGCATCCGTTCTGCTGGAGGAACAATGTCCTACATTACAGCAATGCTTTTCAAACACACTGTTCCTGCTCTGAATGCACGTTGCTTGCCACTGCTCTTTACAACACTGTAAGGCCTCTGCAGGCTGAAAAACCTGCAGAAAGAGAACAGTCTTAATTCTGTATCACTTGCAAGATAGCCTCCTAGATCTCACTCTGCCTTACTGCTGGTTACTTTGTCAAAGTTACAAGGAGTTACTCATCCACGTAGAAAGCTACTCACTGCTCCTCATCTCTGACAGCAGCTTCAGCAAATGCTGTCTGC